GCACCAGCTCTAAGCCTCAACCCACCACATGTACAAAACTTTGATACTCAACACACAAATACACACACGGCTGCAATCATGTGCCGAGCTGCCCTTCTTTGCCAGACTGACAAAATGATGGCTTCGCTCCCTTGGCAAATGTCACCTATTATGTACACTCTGAGCTGTGATTGAGTGCAGTGCAACAAGCATGCCTCGGGAGCCTTTCTTTTAGGCTCGTATTTTGGAGGCAGGTATAGTTTCCTTCACATTCGAGGTGGGCCGGCTAAGAGTGTAAACAACCCACTGCGCACAAGGGCCCTTCAAGACCGGGGGAGGCAAGGTAAATTTTCTGCCCTGGGGCTCGAACCATCGGATCCCAGGGGAAGCCACGGCTGAATGCCTCGACCCGTAGCATTGGGTCTCAGGGCCACGTGGCCACTCTCCCCGTCCGCATACCTCCCTTATTGGATGCTAATGCTAAAGCTAGGATCGGCAACGTAAACTTATACAAAACCCGACAAAGCCATGACTTAGAGACATACCGTGAACTTCAAAAACGGACAAAAGCTAAAATTGGATAATATTCAACCATAATTTTCAAAAAGCAGAGAAGTGCTGTGGCCTTTGAAATATATATTTTTTAATTGAAACGTCTCATTTCACCTCTAAAATTCCAGCTCCCAGCTAAAGAACATAAACACTTTGACTTTAATATTAAATAATTTGGAATGTTCAACTTGTTCAATTAATTTTTACCATTTTGGTCATGGTAATTGAGTGTTTTTTTCTGTCCCAAACTTGAATCGGACACCATTACACTTTGTCCATATGGTCTGGGCATTAGCAAGTCATTTTCAAAATGAAAAAAAAAATTGGATGTTTACTTACAGACTTCCTCTGCAATCAGCTCTCCTGTCTTTTCAAAATACCAGAAACAATTTCCGTTTTTGTTCCACAAGATACATGATCTTCTGCAGGTCAGCCCTCATATACGGGTCTATGTGATACTTCTTTGACAACTGTACATAAGGCCATCAAAGGGAGGTATATAATATACGTACTGTGTATGCACAGTACGTATATTACGCACGGGCAAGGGGTGGTGTAATGTTCGGCGCACTGTGCTATAAAATTGATGATTTTCGTTTGATTCCTGCCCACAGCTGACACCAATGGTGAGTGATATCACTGTGTAACAAAACAAATATTTTTTGTTCCTGGGTAGTAAGTGTTATTTTCCAATTGATTTAGCCTAAAAAGTACAGAAAATGGCTATTAGTCCCCACAAACTATGCTTTTGTGACCAGGACAGTGATATTTTGAAATTTACCTATTTTCAATGAGAAAACGTGTGCATTTGTGTCATTCCTTCACATAAACTCCCGGTCACAAAAGCAAAGTTTGTGGGGGAAAATAGCCATTTTCTATACTTTTGAGGCATCAGCAATTAGAAAATAACACTTACTACCCAGGAACAAAAACCGTGTGACATAGTGTATTGTGAGTGCTCCTGCAACTACCCACTCACCCAACCCAGCCCTGCACCTTCCCACCATAACCAGCATAGTAAAGTATGACACAACGTGTGAAAGCCTTCATCAAACAACAGACGAACTGCAAGGCAATATTAATTATAAATACGACGACTTCCATTGTGGTGTCTTTTACGAATACAACATGGGAAGCCGTAAATACATGTGAGCAGTTATTTTTTCGAAAATTTATTATATTGCACAAGCCGCTATCAATATTAAAATAATTAAAAATTGCCGACAACACAAGCAAACAATAGACTACACTTTGTGAATGATGCCACGGGGTCTTAAACATTCACTCTGCGGCAGACGGTGTGTTCGCGGTAATTCCCTGCAGAATTTACCAGGTGGCTGTGGGAGATGGGCCATCAATCTCACACAATCTGGATCAGTAGACAGCCCTGCTGACCACGAGGTCATTTAGCCACCTGGTGTTAAGTTTCATAACGTACTGATGCAAATGCGAATGCGGCCAAGGTGCTTCGTATGTGCAAGGAGACAAACAGTCCAAATAATAAAAGTGCGCATCCATTATTATCCATTTATCCGGCCAGGTGAGGGCTGCAATTACCAAGCTCCGCTGACAATCCAAGGATCGTGCAATCAAATCCCAGCTGTGGGGATGGTTGACTCCACTTGCAATTCCTCCAGAGTTCATGGATTGAGTACCACTGCATAGGAAGTTAACTCTGGCTGCCCTGTGAAAAGACTGGCACCCACCATGGGCATGTAGAATTTGCATCACTGGCTCGGAGATGCTAACAGACACGAGCATCATCTGATGCATTTTTGAGCTTGGAAACACCCTGACTTTTTAATTGTTTTTCAGAAATTAAGGTTTTAGGGTTGCGATAGTGTAGCGGTTAGCACGCTGCGCTATGAACCTGGCGACCCGGGTTCGATTCCCGCTCACGGCCAACACCGGTGACGATAATCTGAACCGGTCCCGGGCCTCCCCTAGGTCGACTCAGCCTCAAATGAGTACCTGGTGCGGTGTGTAAACATTGCCACTAGGGAGACAAAGGCGGTCGGGCGTGGTGCTGGCCACCCACCCCCTCGTGTACCGTTCCGGCCTTCATAGGTGCTCGCTAACAGCACTTGCCCCTACAGTCTGTTAAGGCTATACGGGGGATCTTTGATCTTTGTGTTTTTTTAGGCAGTTTTGTTCGCATTGTGCTCAACATACATGTCAACCACTTTTGCAACAGTTAAAGCAAACGTCGGTGAAAGCGTCCGCTGGAACTAAAGTCGGTAAGTTTTACGCACGCAAACAATGGCGTGTACGGAGAACTCCACCCTCTGGGTGAGGCCAAGCACTGAAGACGTCTCAAAAAGCACAATGCATACGGTAATCACATCTCACAGTTCTATCGAAGTGGCGCGCAGAATAGGGGAGATTTCTCCTTGTTATTTGCGACAGCCTTGTCAGCATACCAGTGATATCTGAAAGATCTTTTTTTTATCCAATTATTTCCAACCCATACACTAGATAGTACAGTGCGTTAACTTTAATTATATCTCTGAATACTGAGGGAGGCTCTGTACAGCAGGGGAAGAAAAAAATGGAACATAAAAGACAGAAACAGATAATTTTTAGCTGGCTTAGATTGCAAGAGCAAAATTTATTAATTTTGTAAACAAAAAAATGTATGTTTATCTTTAAAGGATTACAACGATGATGCTGTACTTAAATGATATAAATTATACTGAGAGCCTCACCTTGCTTAAATAGGCAATGCAGGGGCCACTCATCGCTATTGTCAGCCATAAAACAAAAGTGGAAATTCCACATTCCCATGGCAGGAGGGAGTTTGTTCATAGTTTACCAGTTTATACTTTGCATTGTGGTTACTCACTGTAACCCACAAGCGAAACTAAACCCGCACCTCCGTATGGTGCGAAAGAAGTTAAACCTACATAGAAGACGAATGGACCCCTGACCATGAATTATACTTGCACCGATCAAATTGCAAATTCATCTTTCTGTTCATAGCTATCTGCATTATATCTACAGATGCGAACATTAATAGTTTAGTCTCAACTGTTAAGGCCAGCATGGCTCAGAAGCGGTAGTGGAGCTGGTACCAGGGGAGGGAAATGTTACTCCCTCGCCTGGTGTGCAGGAGGTTCTGTGTTCGATCATGATTCTGACGCCTGAATATTTGGAGTTTGCATGTTCGCCACATGGTCTCGCAAACTCGCTGCTATAAATTTCCGCATGATAAGCCAATTCGCTGAGCTATCATTTATGGCCAGGTCACTTATGGAAAAGAGCTATTAGCTCAGAGTGCTTTACCTGGTAAATAGAATACATTTTTAAAACTATCGTCCCCAGGTCAGATCATAATAGCAACAGCCCGTATTATGTTTTATGACTAGTAGTTATAATTGTAACACTCTGGGACCATAACACATGAGTTAATTCCCAAGCCACTGATCCATAAAAACATTCCAACATCACACCCACAGTGAGCGAAGATCAGGGGACAGGCAATTCATGGTCTTGTATGTTCCCTTCTTTCCATTCTCTTTGAATGCAATAACAAGCATCAGACAGGGGCATTGATTGACGAGCAACGCGATATGAACTGCGTCTGTTCTGCAAAGGCCTTGAGTTGTCTTATCTTCGCTTGTGTATCAGACAGCATGGGACAGTACATTCCTGACAGGGAAAAAAAAGTGGTATGCTTCAGAAGAGACGTACCTTCTGCTTGACCGCGGGTGTAATAGAATGTTCAACGCGATTTGCCAATATCGGATTGATTGTGGCAGTGTCATGGACAAATCTGCGTAAGTATTCAACAAAAAGTCCTACGTCTAAACCAGGTGAGACCTCGCATTCTTTTGGGGCAACCAAGTAAGAATCTCCGTGCTCAACAAGAATTGGGGCAGTACCCGTCCCTACTGGTTGTGCTGCACCAGTGGTGTAAATTCCACATTCCTATGGCAGGAATCAGACTACCCATGGGAAAGTCTCAGAGTTGACCTTCCATCGCCAAAAAAGCTGAACCCATCTCTTAATGTTCCGAAGTCAAAACAAGTAGTATTAGCAATGCAATTTGGCTATGGAAACCATCTAAATCTAAAACTGCAAATGAAGGTCAACAATGCCAGTGAGGCCACCACAAATGAAGTTCAACAACGAAAGTGAAGCCACCAAAGCGTGCACACCGTGCATCTCTTCGGTCTTTCTGCTAGAGCCCAGAGTTGCTTCAAAGTCGATACTCGACCTTCAGTCAACTCTTACAGCCCCCTCAGCAAGTGGCTTCAAGTCTTCTCGTTACAAATGCAATTGCAAGCCAAGCGTTCTGACCCCGGTTATCTACAATCGGCCACAGTGGCACGGCAATGCACCTTTTTGGCAGAACGGTTGTGTTAAAAGTGACGTTAGCAGATTCGGGGCTTCCCCTCAAGTCCACGTGCCAACGTGTAAACCGACTCCTCACCCCCACGAAATACCATGCTCGTGAAGCCGGACATTACCTTCGCCGGACTGCGCCTCGGGAACCCGCTCGCGGATGATGCGGCAGGCGTCCCACACCACAGTGGACGGCTCGAACTGCATGGTCTTCACCACGTTGCAGTGCCGCACGCAGATCTTGAGCGAAAGGGCCACCATCTTGGCGAGTCTTCTTTAACGCCTGTGCCCCCGCTCTGTCAAAACCTGATGGAGTGGAGGGACAGAGGAAGAGCAAGGGGGGGGGGGGGGGGGGGGGGGGAAGAAAAGCAGACAGCGATTGAAGGGGAAAAAAAATTGCCAACCCACCGCTTCATATTCGTGACGTGCACAGAATTTCCAACCATGCACATCATTATCTCAGCCAAGTAGGTTGCGCAGACACTCATTATCCTCAGAGTGGCCTTCCGGGATAGGCGGTGATTGAGCATTTCTTTTATCGAGCTCACTCCACGCACTCCTGCGGGCCCCATCACCTTAAACCTCCTGAAGACGCCCACAACAGAGAAGATACGCTCAACGAAGCGCCTTACAGGCACGTCAATTCATCTCTCGATAGAACTGCTGTGGCAAAGTGCCACAACTGAAGACTGTGCTTCAAAACTTTAAGAGTCCCAGTCAACTAAAGAGTCCACAAAAATAATTACACCTGCGGGATGTCAATAGAGGCTGTCCGGCAAACACGACCAAATCAGAAAATCTCCACCCCTGACTCGGAGTCACTGAAGGTGATGAGCAGTGCCCGCGGCTTCCCCGACCACCCCCCCCTACCCCCACCCCCCACCATGCTTGGTTCAGCACAGAGACAGGAACTTGTTCAAGTGACACAGATGCCTTGCTATACGTTGGACATTAGTCCTGACCTGGAAGGTGAATCAAATGTGAATAAACACCTTTTTGGTTGCAAGCATCGTGTTTTGCAACAGTGCCACACAGCCGGGGACTTTCTTAGGATGCGCAGAGCAAAAACTAATCAACACGAAGATATGTTTACATTTGAACCGTGCTGTTATAAGTGCACTGTATTGCTCCTGATGTTCGTATTTGTACAATTTGGAACTAGACAGGGACGTTTCATAAGCTGCTTTTCAATTTGTACCAAATGAACAAAACATTAGAGCCCTGATTCCCATCGTGATGAAATTGAAAAAACGAATTGTTTTGCCAATCTTCCCCCTTGTTGGAAATGGAAATATCGGCACATTTTCTGCCAAGCTGAGAATCTGGCCCCATGAGTCAGTGTCTTGCTGCCCAAATGAGACTGGTGGTCCTGAGCCGGTGACAATGAAAATTCCACATCCCTATGGTCAGAACCAGTCCCTCTTTTAGAACAACCACGATCAACTTCACAAAAAGCAATGCTCATTTTATTGATTCAAGAGAGAAGATGGGCTGGGATTTGAACTTGCATCCTTCTGGTTATGAGTAGAGGGCCCAGCCACAGAAATACCTGGACTAGATATGAAACACGTGGGAAAATCAGCTTTTGTGCAGAGAATGTTGAATGTGTAGGTAGTCAAAGGACGTCTAGTATTTTTTAACACTGGTTTTTTAAGCACTATTTGTTGTTTATGCTGTTTTGTGGAATTTCTGGCGTGGTTTTCGTGTAAATAACTAGTTGTTTTAGCTCTTGCTAGCTTGCACATTCCCACTCTGCAATGTCCTGTAACTGCCACCACTGGCAATGGTCTTGGGCTGTGGTCATCCTTATAACAGAGCCGCATAGCTCAATGAGCCTTACCAGCTGGAATAAAGTCTGAATTAGGAAATGCATCACGGCAAATGCTCAACAGCTTTATCTCGGCAGCAGCCACCAAGCAAAACACACTGCAACCGTATTGTCCAGTAACATAACCTCCAATGTATTTTGGACCTTGAAAAAAGGGAGTTGCATTCTTACAAAAATAACCGTCAGAGACACGCTTCAACCAGTCCAAGTCAGCCTTAATTGGACAATAGATCCACAAAATACAGAAATATTCATCCTTGCAATGACATTGTTCTCTCATATGAAAACACAGGCGAAGGACAATGCAAGGCAAAAAATCTACCCACATCAAATATTAATCAAGGTTACCTCCACATTATTCTGCCACACCATGGCCACGTTTAAAAATAAATCACAGCGGAGAGTTTGAGGGCACGGGGAAGGCGGATAAGAGATGGAGGGGAGGAGGCCGTTGTGAATGGAGCATATGCAGGGCCTGATACGAGCTCTGCAAACAGACCGACAATCGTCATTCACACAATGGTATCAGTGTTGAAAACGCATGCAGAGGCAACATCGGCAAAACCGACTGTTCAGGGCATTGAACCTGAGCTCCAGCAAAGGACACAAATGTGCCGATTGGATTTTCTCCCCCCCCCCACCCCTCCACCAAACACAAAACAGTGAATAGGAATTGGCAAAACATCCCAGCACAGTACTATTCTAAAAGTCCCCAGTCTCATTGAGGCTTTACTGAAAAAGTATAAAACACTGGTAAATATAAACAATCATTTTGCAAATATCCAGCTGGGTGGAGATGCGGGAGAGAACTCAACAAGCAATGACAAGACCATGTGTTTACATCCCTGTCAGGGGTTGATGCAGACCACCAATCCTTCAGGGTTGATAAAAAGAAAAACCACAGTGGGAAATCAACACAGTGGTGTTCCTAGGATGAAAGTGGTCACCGCCTTTGGAATGTGGATTTTAAATCAAGGATCAGGGCCACTATTGGAAGTGGGCATCACTCCCCACTAATATGAGCAAGCAGACTTTAATATCATTGGACCTCCTTTGCCAGTACCCAAATATAATAATGGGGTGTTTCCCCTTTTTTTCTGGCAAAAAAACTTAAACCTTTTTACAAGGAATCATATGTGCATTAATCACAATACTTGTGGTCAAAATGCAAACAAAAAAACTCTGATAATATATGCATTGTCCTTGAAAGTGATTGGTCCACACAAGATACGGCTTTCTTTTCAGTTCATTTCAGTTTTTCAATTTCATTTATTTGGTATAGCCCTGTGAGCCATTCGGCTCTTGAATCAGGTGCAACCCCAACAAACAAAAAACAAAAACACGAACAAGAAAACATCTTAAAGTGACTATGTGATTGTGCCAAACAGAAAATCCAGGAAAAAACAGCAAAATATTCCTGAAAAAGCACCGTACACCAACGCTGTGTGCAAAAATCCCAGTGGGATGCAAGTTAAACAACAACAACAACCACAAGACAACTAAGATTAAGGCCATCCAGTCTAACTCCGTACTAAAACAAAACAAACATGGCCAAACCAAAAAACACACGTCCACCTCTTTAGGGGCAATCGCATTAAAAAAAATAATTCAAAACGAAACGAACTCCACAACGCAAGTGACCAGAAACATTCTACGGCCACATCGCAAAATCATCGACCCACCTGAAAGAGGGAGTAGAGAATCACGAATGACGCTGGCTCCACTCCCACCACGGAATTTAGGAGCCTCGTCTCAATTGGTGCTAGACCAGAGGACGCCAAGAGGCGTACAGGTCAAAGACAATGCACTATCAAAGCAATGATAGCTCGGGGTAAGCATCTCGGGGTAAGCATCTCGGGGTAAGCACCACAAGTGTTGTGGCTAATGCACGCATGATTCCTTGTAAAAAGGTTTCAGTTTTGTTGCCAGAAAAAAGGGATAACCCCTATTACTATATTTGGTACTGGCAAAGGAGGTCTAATGGTGTGGATGCTTACCCCGAGCCCTCATTACGTTGATAGTGCATTGTCTTTGAGCTGTACGCTTTTTGGCATCCTCTGGTCTCGCACCAGTTGAGACGAGGCTCAAAAGAAAGCTGTCTCTGGTGTGGACCAATCAGTTTCAAGGACAATGCATATATTATCAGTGTGTTTTTGTTTGCATTTTGACCACAAGTATTGTGGTTAATGCACATATGATTTCTTGAAAAAAAGATTACGTTTTGTTGCCAGAAAAAAGGGGAAAAACCCTATTGTTATTGAGACTTTCATACTTTGTACATTATTGTGCGTCCAGAAATAATTAACCACCAGGCCAAATTTCTGGGACAATAAGAATGACAAGAGTTGTTAATCCCCTATAAAATAGCAGGAACACTGCACTAACTACAACAATGGCAAGTGTTTATAAATTACTACCATGATTTATACACTGCCTTGATTATATTGGAATGTTCATGGTCATGAAAATATATATGAACCAAGGCACCATAATTTTACCCATAAATTTCTGGCCTAATGGACAAACCATAACTGATTAGCAAAACATGGCCTGCATTAAACAGCAATCGCTTGCAGCTTCCCTGACCTGCAAGCTGTGTGCAGAGGGGGATGATTTACTCTGCTTGGTACTCTTCAACATGGAAGCACCAAGCTGGAGACACCTCCTCCTCTGGCAGCATTGATGCCCCAGAAAAGCGACCTTCAGCCTGAATGTCCTGCTGACCACGAGATCCTTCCTGGCCCACCCAATTTGCGCCTGTAAGCCCCCTCACTAATTGCATGGGGGCCCAGGCACGACTGAATGCATGGCCACTCCTGGGCTCACCAATGGGCGATGTTAGTGCCAGGTTTTTGCCGGAAACGGCTGATACCAGCGGTGGTTGCCAGAACCCTCCTGGGACCTTTCGTAATGGGTGGTATTGTTGGGTAGTATGGTGCAGTGACGTGCGGTGAGGTCAATGGCTGAGGAGGCACTGGCTAGTGTCAGAGCCAGATTCACACACTGAGGGGGGGGGCGTGGCCTCACGAGGGGGCGTGGCCTCACTGAGGGGGCGTGTCCTCACTGAGGGGGGCATGTTAGACACGTCCCCATCAGTGAGGCACATGTCATAGCTGCCTCCCCTGGTGCTTTTTCATTGCAGTTTCATGATGAGACCAGCGAGCCTAAATATCTTTATACACATACGTGAAATAAGTTACCTGGAGTATGGAAGGCGAGGACATGAAATGAAGAGGTCTACAAACATTACATTGGTGACATACTGAGATAGTAACAGGCACGCGCTTATTGCCCGCGCTCCATCCAGTTACTGAGGGGTTGCGCAATCAGAGGGGAGGCTGAGCTCGTCGCTGCCTCACCTCTCGTCTCTTGCTGTATTTGCAGCGGAGCTCAGCAAATTTGGCGATTTTGACTATAAAAATGATTGGAATCGTACAGAAATTACATTTATAACACAAATCAGTGGAAAAATCTTAAAAAATGTATTTTATTTCATTATTTTTTTTACTTTTCGTAACAGCTATTTTCATTGGAGTATGACAGGTGAGGCTCTGCCTCCCCTGCCTCCCCTGCCTCCCCTGACCGCACGTCCCTGGTATGGTGGGGGTATTTCAGGTGGTCGGTGAGGTTTGTGAAGGTCCAGGCTGGCGAGGCGAGTGTGGCTGGGGAAATCCACATCATTGATGAGGTCAGTTCGATTAGGGTGATTGGGGTTTCGGCATGGTCAGTGCAATCAGTGCAGTCAGGGCCGTCGGTGAGGTCAATTCAAATTGGTTTGATTGTGGCGGTCACAGAGCACTGGACAATCATAAATCAGCACCCTTTTCATCATTGGCAGCATTCGCCTCTGGGTGCTTCTATCTACTGGACATCTGTGAAAAAGAGCTTTATAGTTCCTCGGATTCCTCCAGTATAAATACATAGTCTATTCCCTCTCTTGGCCAATTTCTTCCATTCTCTTGTCAATACGTCCAATTTTGCTATGTAAGCCATTTCTTTTGTTTTGTCTGTCCCCGATGTATACAAGGTTCTCATGTGACTAATTCAACAATGTTGTTATTATAATAATAACAATGATGTTTAAAGGACCAACAATGTTTCAGTTGTTAAATAGGCATGGCGCAATGGGGAAATAGTACACGACATGCGTTGCAGTGCATGCAGTGAGAGCAAGCCATCAAGCTGAGCTCGGTGGCCGTGGGAGAGGGGGGCAAAGGAGGGGGGGATCGGGTCCGAGGGGTCGGAGGTCAGGGTCTCTGCTCTCCCCTGACGCGAGGAACCGGGAGGAAAAGGCGTGGCGTTGGGACAACGAGAAACACAACATGCGCCGCCAAACAGTCACAATAATAGGACGGCACAAGGCGGTGAAAAACACAAATAAATAACAGTTACAAAATTTGAAAGAAAGAAAAAAAAAGGCAGCCTACCGCCGCAATCCTTCCAAAACATAGAGTACTAAAAACATCAAAGTCCATTCGATGTGCGGCTGTGTGGGCAGCAGGCAGCGAGGAGACCAGCAATTGTGTGCAAGAATTCTTGAATTTACCACTTTTTCAGGACACGTTAAATTCGTCCCAATAAACAATTGGAAACGGTGTCAAGCTTTTGCTCCGAATGATAATCTTAACCCAATAAGCAAAAGCATCTGTCCCTTTGTAAAAGTCACGTAGACTTTTTTTTAGTGCCTTTTTTTTGTCCAGTCCTCATTATCCCGTGCCCGCAGCCTACAAGGAGCAATGTAAAAACTGTTATTGGAAACAGGTTAACAACCAAGAAACGAGTACGAACAGCAGTGTGGCTCTCTTTATGGACCTGGCGGAGTGTTATTAAAATACACGTTAGCAAAGCGCCTGCGTTGTGTGCGCAAATGCAAAGTAGGTGTCGTTATTGCAAATCATAAAATATGAGACTTCCTAGATCAGACGCACACCATCACTGTGCAAATTAAGATTCTGTAATGCAGCAGTATATCAATGCTAATAGGCCATCGTGAAATTAAGTGCAATTCCGCGATTTTTGCTTTCATCTTTCAAACGCCCAATTATAGCAAAGAAATTAAGTACAGTATATGATCTTGAAAAGGCAGCAGAAAAACGATAAAGAATTAAACATTTTGTACAGTGCTGTGTGGAACAAAAACATTTAAACATCTGTTTTGGTATGCCAGCTTTTTCTCCCACTCAACCCGTTGCGAACGATAACGAAATCACAGCATTTCTTATAAAATGGAGCATGAACGCAAGGCAGCAGCATTGGCTCTGGTTAAACGATGATGAAGGGACAACGCATGGCCTTTTTTTGGGAGTACAACTCCTTGTTGTACAGAAGAGCAAAAGTGGTTAAAAAAAGAGCGAGACAGAGACACTTTGTCCAATTGTGCTCGTTTACAGCATGAGAGAGTTTAAAGTGATGCACACACACACACACACGTACACACAAAATCCTCGATGCAAATCACAGACATCGGGAATGGACCAGCGACCAACTGTTTGGGTGCACAATGGGCGGCTGAGAAAGTACAAGGGATTCCCGGGCGGGCGGGTCGAGTGTCCGGGAGACGTACAAGGCCTCCGCTGTTGAGCGCACGACCCCGAAGCACAAAGGCGCAACACACAAGCCCCTGCGTGCGCGCACGCGCGCTTAAGCGCGCCGGTGACATGCACGCACGTGCCACAATTGGCCCTTTCTCTCTGGCCTGCTTGCTCGCAGCCAATACTTTACGCGTTTTTGGTTCTTAACCGGCATTATGGATATAAAAGGGATGGATAGTTAGCAGGCGGGGGTGGAGGGGGGGGGGGAATTAATTCAATTATAAGCAGAATACTAAATTATCATTCGACTTAAACCTTTCTGAAATGGATTCAGAGGCTGCCATTCGTGAGCTGTGACTCACTCCCGAGTGGCCAAAATAAATAAACGCATGCCCGTTATTTATCCAGCAAAAAGCTTCACTGAGTCTCATGACTTTCAGGATGGTCAATCCCTTGGGGTGTTTGGCCAATTGCATTTGAATGAGTGTTGTCAATGTGGGAGGAAACCAGAGGAAACTATGGCATGCACAGAAAACCCACACAGGCGCGGAGATGGAAGGTCACGTTGGAGGAAAAACAAGGGCTTTTAAAAATATACTTTGGAACTTACGAATATTGCACAATGAGTTGAGTATTTCCCTCATAAGGAAGAGGACAAAAATTAGCATCCTGCCAAATGTATTCCCAGTGGGATGAGATCCCTTTGTGCTAAGCTCCGAAGCACGTCTGCACATGTGGATCTTGTCATGAATGCAGCGAATGCCACGTACTTACTGTACGTCCAGTGCACATCATTTAATGTGCTGTTACATACGTGTACAGTACATGTACAGTACACCAAGTCAAAGGTCAAAATTTCGACTCGATCGTGCAAGCGTGAACCGGCCAAAAAAACAACAAAACCTTTCAATGACCAAGAGCCAGCTGCAGAAATTCCACATTTCCATGGCGTGGCCAATGTCTCAGCAGAACCAATACAGTTGGCTTTGCCAGAAACAACGAGAGCAGTGGCCACACCTTGTGGGAATTAAACAACGGTCATCTCTTACCATGAGACTGGCCCCAAGGTAAAGTGGAATTTAAATTACTGGTTTAGAATTGCCAACTGATATAACCCACCCCATAACTCATTTCAATAGGGAGGACCCTTTGCCAAACATCAACTGGTGCAAATTTAAACTTCAATGAGCCTACACTTTTTTCACGACTGGAAAATTGCACGCTTTACTCAAACGTGTCTAATGGAAGAAGAAGAAGAAAAAAAAATTCCACCAAAGAGCGGCACCTGGCGTTCTCCTCCTGCACGGTGGAAGCGTGTCACCGCTGACGTTGATTTTGGCGTTCATGGGATCTCACAAATTACGTGAACGTGCGCGCAGGAACGTGCGCACACGTGCAAGCGCCCCGGGGAACGGCGCCTGCCACGCGTCGCAAGCGCAAGCCGCACATAGCAGCACCATGCCCCATGATGATCTCTTTCTGGCTACTTTTCTCACTTAACTCTGTTTTGGGGCACAAAAGTGTAAGCACCTGAACACTGAATTTGGAAACCTGAAAGAAATCGCCTCCCCTCAGCACTTTCATACACCCCCAGCCCAACCACCAACCCCCAGTCAATCATGGCAAAAGACACCCAGGGAAACGTTTGCTATATTTCATTATTAAGGTGTAAAGCCAGTAATGGGTCAAGGTCTTTCCATTTATTGTTTAATAAACAGGGGAGGGACAGTACTTCTGGCCGTTTAGTTCACTTTTTAAATAAGTCAGCGTCTCCCTGCCCAAACAATGTTAGAGTGGCACTCATTTCGATTCAAGAGCCGCATGGCTCACAGGGCTATACCTAATAAATGAACTGAACTGAAATCTCCACAAAAGGCCCCTTGAACTGCTGGTGGAAATTCTACATTGCCATGACGGAGGCACAGTTTGCACCAGAGGACGGCCACTGCTGTAACATTCTACAGAGCGTTACTCATTGTAACAAACAAAAGGAAATATAGGTCGAGTTGACTCCCCTGACTGGCAATTTCCAAATTGTGAATCAACATTTTGCACTGCAGCAGCACCGGAGCAGATCTGTACGAGACAAAATATCGATATTACATCGCTAAGACTGACATTGCAATGTGACCAAAATATTATTAATCTCATGAAGCCATTCACTTACTGTAAGTGAAAAAAACAAAGTGTCCCAATGATCATACGAGTATGTGATGATACTCATGTGTTTTGGTGAGACAGAGCCGATGTGGAATTCTAAACCCCTACGACTGGATCCAATCGATCCATAGGACCACGAGATGTGTATAGTGTCGTGGTTAAAGCGCTGCGCGATGAATCCGGGGGATCTTTGTCTTAAACATATATACCACGGAAATGTTGAAAGACGTAAGATGTCACGCAAACTTTCGCCTGAGCACTCTGTCGCAGTGAGAATGCTCACTGCTAATGTCTGTATGTATGTTGAACTTCTTTCGCACCATACATAGCCAACCGTGCTAATCGGAGGTGCGGTTGAAGGACAACAAACTAAACATAAAAATCAGTTTTAAAGAAATGACCTCCTAGGAGTTCTTGCAAATGGCTCACCTGTACGATTCCTCCTGTGCTGAGGTTTTCTTCAAGGCCACGTGCTCATAAGGTCACAGCTCACAACATCCGCTTCCTGCCAAATACAAAATGCCCCACACTTTAGCAAGTGGTGGAGCTTGTGTGTTTTTACTCTCTCTTTGCACGCGTTTCCTTGAATGGTACACACACACACACACATCCTGACTGCAGGATTGACGGGGCAGGCTCCAGTTCAGTGCAATTGTACTGCGAACCGTGATCTGGTTAAGAGGAACTCCGTCTACACAATGGAACCTGCAAATCAAACATCGCCATACATTTAGAACATGCCGGTTTTTGAAAAAGAAAGAGAGGTCAAATCGCTTTGCGGAATGGATGAGCCAATGGTGCAGTGTTAATCGCATGTTCTGAACCAGTGGTGGAAATGCCACATTCCTAATGCAGGGGAAAGCCTCCCAATTTGATAACCACTGCTGACATCCAGAAAAGTAGAAGTCATTTTATCAGACCTGTGATGAGCACGGTTGGCATTTTATTGTTCGAAAGAAGTTCAACATACGTATACACATTGACTGCGTGCTGCAGACAGTTTATGTGCTGAACCAGACAGTGACTGGGAATTAAACCACAACCATCCGATTGAGAGTCAAACCCCCCCCCACACCACAGGCGATTGCTACAACCACATGCCATGCCAACAGGAAAGCTCCTCGTAAACAGGTGCCATTTCGATTCAAAGCTTTCGTGACTGCAGGAATTCATATTCTTGGTTCTTTCGGTAAAGTCACGTAGAAGGGAAACAATAAAATAATAAAATATAAAACAATAAAATTATCACGACGTTTCGACTGCAACACAAGCAATCATCATCAGGTGTGAAAACCACAGCAAGAAAAATTGAAAAAAGTGGCGGTTTTTTTAACGTAAAAAACGCCACTTTTTTCAATTGTACATTTCTTTCACACCATTTGTAGCCAACCGTGCCAATCGGAGGTGCGAATTTATCTCTGGTCAGATTATTTTCAATTGTACATTGCATGTATACATATTGCCATATCTATAATAGGTAAAGGTATACGGGCGACCCTGAAATGCCCTGTTCAAGCCACTGGTGGCAAAATAGCCTCTACTAGAGGGAGCTCTAGACATCACCTACAGATGTGTCCTTCCCCCGCACCTTCGATTAGCGTGGTTGACTACGTACGGTGCGAGAGAAGCTTAACATACATACATATATGATATTTTGCCCTACTCTTCCACGCTGGCCAGGCATCGTGGAAGAGGTGAAAGTACCCACACTTTATCCAACCACAAGAAACTCACAGATTCAATCATTGTGGTGTTCCCATTTGTGCTGCTGGGTATACAGAGGAGGGAGATTTAAGAAACGTTCCCATTGTTTAAACTCTCGCGGGGTTTAACTGATAACCTCTGGTTTGCAAAACCCGCGTGATCACCATCACACCACGGCAGCATCCCATGTTTATTATTCCACAGTAGTTGTCGCTAATTAAATTAATTAAAAGAGGTTTCGGATATCACTCACTACTGACATTAGCAATGGCTGGGATTCACAATCAGATTTCTGGGGTCATAGTTCAGCGTGCTAACCACAGTGTCTATAAACAATTCATTCGTATACACTGCAAGCGTAATATCCCATCTAATAGACATGATCTATTACGCCATCAATAAGGATTAGCTTGAAGTAGCTGGATGGATAATACCATGATGGAGTACTGTACAAGTTCTTGGGTTCAAATCCGAGTGTCCGCCACCCACGATGAAACTGGCTTCTAAAGTGTTGACGTATTTCTTGGTCTAGGCCCAACAACTAAGTGACTGTAAAAAAAAACCCAATGTGGCCAATTTGGTAATGAGGCATACTCTACCTCTGATCACTGGCTTCCATCATTGGCAGCAGGGTCAGCTATAAGATCGCCTGCCACCGCGCCTCTACACTCCGTCATCCACCTAATCCGTCTTCGCTGCCGTCACCCGGCATGACAGCCTACGGTGGAACTCTCCCGCAGCAGCGCGACTCACAACCTCCTCCTCTCTAAACCAAGGACCACGACCATCACTGCCAGGCGTCGTTTCTCCATGCCTGCCCCCCGCCAGGCCCCCACCATCTGGAACGCCATCTCGACGCACATTGGCGGCATTCAATCAACACCAACTTTTAAGGGAACATTCAAGGCCCCACCTCTCATGCCTCGCATCCGAGCGACTCTGAGCTTTGCTCCGCTCCTCAGTCACAGTCATTCATGTCCGTAAGATACCGTGTGCGTTATATATGTAATTCTTCTTATTATTATTACTACAATAAAATGTATCTTGATTGCCAAGGGACTCTGAAAAACATAAAGATGCATCCCCGAAAGGGGCCTATTGCACCTGGTGGGGCCTGCAGAAGATATCATCTTCTGGAAGCTATTCTCCAACACAAGGTGGTGGTCGTTGCAAGAGTTCCAAATGCTAATTTGATGGTGTCTTGACATCGCGTGCTCCTCTCGTATGCTCCTCTCGTGAAGGAGCATAAATCATCACATGAACTCCGGTCATCCTCGCAGCGGTTTTTGGCTGCTGGCCATCGAACAAAGACAGTCACCGTATCGTGCGCTTTCAGATGCGCTTCTGCGGTCGTGTGGAATGCTCTTCCTTCTGATATTAGAAGGCGACTGGAGATATGCACTTTTAAATCTAGATTGAAAACGTAAATTCTTTGTAAGTGCTTGTGTTTAGTTTGTTGTCCTTCCCCTGAACCTCCGATTTAGCACGGTTGGATACGTACGGTGCCAAAGAAGTTCAACATAATACATACACATGAAGGGCATACAGTAATTGGAATGTAAAATATGGGAAAAAAATTCGACCGTTTTGGTCCAATCTTAGAAGCTAAACAGGGCTGAGCTGGGATGGTGCTTGGATGGGCGACCACCATGTGCACAAGACCAGTGTAGTACGAGTAGGCGTTAGAGGGCAGTGCAGAAAAAACGACTGTCGTTCTGCACTCCCTTCACATTGACCAGCGTGGTGAAGTACGGTCAAATGTCCCACATAGCCTGCAATGTGTGGGGAGGCCCTCAAACATCCGTGGATTGACAGAAAACAGGCTGTACATGTCGACATGTACATGTAGGGTTACAATAACGACATTTTACATCTCACGTTTTGAGCCAAATGTGCTTCCTCATTACATAACCTGCTACTTCCAGCAAGCTCAATACTGGCAGGTAACGTACGTTTCCTCACGTCACTCACACACCACCATCAACATGCAAAGTGGTAGGAAAAGTGCCCTCACCTAGAGCAAAGGATTACCCTGCCCTAAGCCGCTTATGCATCTCGGTGAGGCACACATGAAGCAAAGCATCCTCCTCCCTTCAGTGAGAACATTAATACAGTATCATAGTCTGACTATTCCATTCTTGCATGCAGCAATATATTCAGGAGCTAGATGCCAATGTTAGACGCCTGTTAGCCATGAGAGGGCTTCAACAGAGAGCTCGTGTAGTTTTGCTATACCTCCTCCATTAAAGCAGCGCAGACTACGGTGGTTTACTAAATGAACCATCATTTTGTTTTCATGGCCACAGTCGCACTCTGGCTTGTCTTTCATTTTCCATTCATGAAGGAGACGTGCGCATTGGCCCGCTGGTGCTCTGAAGCAGTTGATGGTTGCATTGTTGTCTTCAAGGAATGTAAAATCCAGGAGGGGGAAATGTTTGGGGTCTTGAATGCGGTGTTCATTCTGGACTTCCATGTTGTAAAGTTTGACCGATACCGTCTAACAAATGAGCAGAGTTTGTTCTAATATATTGTCAAATGCACATAAAGTAAAAGTGTTTCACTCATCACACAAGTGCCAGCCGGTGCTCATCTCCGCTGGCGGTCCTAAGACAGACAGTTATGGAAGTTCCACATTCCCATGGCAGGAACCGGCCTTTCCTTTGGACAACCGCAACAAGTGGTGCTTGATTATCATTCGCAGGGTTATGGATGGGGCTGAATTGACCCCGAGCCAGGCTTTGCTCTCACAACTATTCGGATTGTAAGTGGAGCACTTTCACCAGCGACGCTCAATCAGATGACGACATCTTTAAATATTGGGCATTGTAATAACCGTGTTTATGACAACCATCCTTATCGGACGTCGCTTTCTACACATACCTCAAATCACTCCTCTCAGCACTATCATGTAATCACAGGTGTGAGGCTGTCATTTCTATTATTGGGAGGAACCCATGAAGGAGGGCTTTCTCTTATCCACCGCCACAGGTAGAACAACGCGGCTCTATGCTGTATCCACCTCACAGCATGGGGAATGTTCCTTGGGAAAACGTGGCTGTTAACAGTGGTCGCACTTTGGACAGACTAGCACCCACCAGGGAATGTGGAATTTCCACTGCCGACTCAATGACTGCGAACGGAGACGAGTGTGGTGAGGAAACTTGGTCGAGCTTGTTTGACCTCTTGCACGAGATGGCTGTTTGTTACACTCGTGGAAGCTACATTTGCACCTCTAATGAGTCCTTTTTTTGAGTTGAGTACATGCCGAACAAGGAACATTACTTTGCCGCAGCGGTTTGACGATGAGTTTCAGTTGTAAATCATTTTCATTTGTTACGGATGCACTGGTTGCTCTGTGTACTGAGCTCCAGGTCTTCCCTTCAGTTGCAGGCAACTAAGCTCGCTAATTTAAAGATGTAAATTAATTTGCAGCTGGCAGGCTATATTTAACAACGATGTACCATGATTCCCTACAGCTCCATTACATCCACAGGTGCCTAAATAACTAAAAATAATTATTATTTTTACTATGAGCAAGCAATTAAAAAAAAACATCTACCAGACATTGAAACAAGGGGCTGCCTTCAACAACTGCTAGTGGTCATGGTTCCGTTGAGAGGGCACTTTAATTCCGTATCTGCCTTTAAATTCACTGTCTCACATTTCCCTTAAAGCAGGTGCTGCTCTCAGAGTGTCAAGCGAACTCGTACATCCGCAAGGGCGAGGAGGGGCCCCCTTGCCAGCAGCGGTGATGCATGGTGGCCGGGAGCTTCCTTCAAAGCCATACGACGTCTTTGAAGGCGTCCAGCCAGCAGACCTCCTGTGCCTTGTAAGAACGTGCACCGCTAACATCTTCCCGTGTCCTAAATTCATTAAAACGCCACCGAGGCTCTGATTTTTTTTCCGAGAGGCCAATGTTGTACTTGAAATGCCCTCAAGCTAATCCTCGCAGCAGCATAGGGTCCATATTTTCATTACCTTGTGAGCCGATTCTTAAAACTTATACGTAGAACTTCTTAATGAGCCGATTTCATCAAAGGAAGCATTTTAAAACTATTACGCATGTACAGAACAGCGCAAATACATTTTATGTATGTATAAAAATCCCCCCTTAAATAAAGTATTACATGGCTGAGGAGAGCGTATCTTGTAAGGAACTGATTAAAAAAAGACGCCATTCTGATATAAATATTTTACAGTGTTGACAGTTCATTAATGTTGCAAGAAATGCTAACCCACAGAACAGTGTATCTGATTGTTCATAACCGACTGTGACAGACGGATTTCATTTTTCAACATTTCCTCAGAAGAAGCAACGTGGTTTTTTTTGTCTCTGAAGCAGTCACAAAAATGTTTAACACGTAGGCTTTCACGACCAATATCATCCATGATAGAACGAAACAGGGGGACTTCTCTACAAATCTGGCTGTCGCCTGATGAAGCTAGTTGTAATTACTGACGAAACGT